ATAACTTGATAAGACTTATTTTTATCGATTTTAATAGTTTTAAAGATTTTTAATTCTATTTTTAAAATAAACGATTTATTTCTTTCAAATACAATGTTTAAATATTTTAAGCTCTGTAGTACATACGACTTTGGTGACTAACAGCCTTTCTTTAAATAGGACAGTCCTTTCTTTAAAAAGGACAGTTGATCATTTGTAAGTTCTATCCTTTTTTTTAAGTGCAGGTACTTCTGCTTTTTGATAAATATTATTAAAATAAAAAATAATCTGTAAATCTCCGTATTAAATGCCTAGTAGAGCATACGTATACAGCTTGTATATTTTAGGATGGCGTATATAGTTTAAGATGGCGTATATAGTTTAAAATGGCGTATATAGTGTAAGATGGCCGTCCGTCAATACTTAATATAGGTTTTAATGCACATATTTTGTCAAATGCAATCAACACGAATTTATGTACCATGTACAGGGTGTTTTTTGTATAAATGGGCCCATATCATGGGCCATGGGCATGTCCGGACATGCCTCTAAAATCTTTATTCGAAGAGAAATAAAAAAATAAAAAATCCAGCTTGCATGGTAAATGTAATTTAAAAAAAAATAGACATAACATTATTTTTTTCAATGGAACACCATATATATTTTTCAATATTGAATTAATTTTAACGTAAAAATCATAGTTGCCATGGGTAAAGAACTGACGCCGGAAAATAACCATGATTTTATTATTAATTTTTAAGAAAAGGTTAATAATTGTTTTAAACGCCATGCTTATTTAAGGGTAAAAGTTCTTTATCCATGGCAACCATGATTCTCGCGTTAAATTTAAAACACTTAACACAAATACAAACTATATAGTATATATTTTTGAAACCAAAAGAAAAAACCCTATTTAAATATTTAAAAATGTACAGGGTTAACGCTATTTTATTAAATTTACCAATGGTTTTTTGTCTTTGAATTTTGTCAAAAAAATTATATTTTACTTTTTAAACTATGCAAGCTGGATTTTAAAAATTTTCGTTGTCTTTTTTAATAATGATTTTAAAGGGGTGTCATTCATAAGAAAACACCCTGTACATCAATAATTAACTACAATTTATTTTTATTTAAGTTCTTTTTTCATATGGCTACTTTAAAACAACAGTTTTAATGATATTTTAAAATGTTCAGTTACAGTATAAAAACAAGTTTATTTTGTAAACAATGGTTTTGTTTTAATATTTTGGAATTAGTAACTAATAATTTAAGAACCAAGGAATCAGTATTCTGTAAAGTAATTGACAATTTTTTCGAAGTAAAAGCCCATTTTTTTTCTGAAATAAATAGATTTCTTTTTGTATATATATTTTAAAGAATGTGTTCAAATACATTGTAAAACTGTTGGTAAATGAATATAAAACTACACATTTTTCATGACATTATATTTCTCTCAGTGTACAACAAGCATAAATATCTCTAATTAGAGAGTGTGAAACAAAGATAAATAACATTTGTTGTTAATAGGAGAAAAACGGTAAGAAGACATGGATTAGTGGAAAGAAAAATAGTAAAATAAACAAATGTGTGCGGTTAACGGTAAGGAGTGATGCCAGTTGTAATTTCTTTGTCGATCCTGGGACTGGGCACGGTCTGGCCATATAAGAAGTGAAAATAGACATAACAAGACTGGACAAGTTACGAGTATACCGGCTTTGAAACAGTTACTGCAAACACAGATTCGATTTGAGAGTAACTTGTTTACGAATTATGAATTTAAATGATCTGATTACTGTCTAGCAGAGCTGGCCAAGTACTGAGTACTTTTACTCATATTTCAATTACAATCATAAGTATTTTTCATTTGAAATACTTATTACTTGTACTTACAAACCAAATTCAATGTACTCGTAAAAAATACTCGTGGAATTTACGAGTAATATATACGAGTATTTCAGTTTATTTTATTGACAAATTTTTGCCAAAATATCGTAAGCATCAAAACAGTTTGTTTGAAAGTCTGTTTTAAATCATATATAGTATAATATAATATATTATGGCCTATAGGTTTCATAACAAGTATATAGGTAAACTTTTTAGGAGTTGTTATTTTTATTTACTATTTTATGAACCTAATGTTTAAAATAAATAATTTTATAAATTTGTATTTTTATTTTTATAGCTCAGGACCAAAATATGTATCTATAATGTATAAAGAATAATCAATTATATTAACTAACATTTTTTTTTCAAAAGTACTCGTACTCTTTACTCGTGTTTTCACGATTACTACTCGTAATCGTAACCTCTCTTTACAAATTTACTTACGAGTAAAGTACTTACGAGTAAATATTTTAAGTACTCGTACTTAAAATTTTATGAATCATTGTTTTAGTACTCGTGCCCAGCTCTGCTGTCTAGTTATAAAACAAAAACTACAAAGGGTGAGCTGCAACAACGCACGCAACAAAAAATCGGGAGCATATTCTCTACCATGATAGTATTTTAAACTAGGTAAACTTTAAAAAACTTAAAAAATACAAAATAGATACTAGGATTTTATCATGAGTAGGTAAATATTATTTTTGATTTCTATTTTTAATAAAAGTAAATATACATTTATTTTTAATCTAAAAATAGAATCGTAGTAAAATATGTAAACATTAACGTTATATTTGTTTTTAATAAGGAAACTATGAAAAATAAACCTTGAATAAAACCTATATATTTTGCGGTTTTATGCGAAACTTGGATATTTTCGTGTTTAAGTGTAACTAGGTACTGAAATAAATAAATTTTACGAGTTTACTCATGGCCACATTTGATTGACTAATTCGATACTGTAGTAAACAAAATAATAAAACCGGTAATAAGTCAATTATGTATATGTATGCAAAGCCAGAACAAAACAAATTTGTGTAGTAAAAATACTATTTAATATAATAGCGATGGTGTCAATACAATTCCACGTATCTCAGGGTAAATATATAAAAAACAAAAAGACGTTTCTTTAAGAAAATATGGCTGTGGGGGAGTAAAATTTGTACAGATTGTGTTTTTAAGATACGTAAAATTGCATTGACATCATCGATAGGTATTATGGTTATTATTAAATTTGGACTCTTGTATTACTTACACACATCTTTGTATGTTTTGTGCATATCGCCTTCTGGACAAGGTGTCCAAAGTTATCTGCTCATCATTGCTAACATGCATGGTTAATATTGGAGCTACAGAGTCGGTTAAATTAAAAGATAGTAGTATTTTATCTTCTGAATAAAATGTTAAAAACATATAAACAATTCAACTAATTATTCACAAACATATTTTTTTTTTAAATGGAACACCCTGAATATTTTCATATATTTTGAATTTGCTGATTTAACCGACTTTGTAACGGAGTTGGAATGGTAGCAATGGTAACTTTGGAAACTGCGTATATATCTTTGATCTATAGGTATCGTAAATATGTTATTAGAGAAGCTATTTTTTAACGATTTTGTTCGATTTTTTTATTGTTTTATTTGCTCAAAAGACAGCCAAATTATCACGTTACAGAATGCAGTGTTTTAGATGCCAAAAACGCAGTAGAATAACAAACAATATATTTTAGGATTTTACCAATGAAATCAGATTTTTAAGGTGAAACTTCTTTGGCGATTGCCAAAAAATTGAAGCGACAAATATATCACAGGAAATAAAAACGCTTTTAAGTATCAGTAGAGCATGACCGCAATATTAAAGATGAGTTCTAAAGAGTTCAGAGTAGATAATAATAATAATAATAATAATAAATACGTAAGATAAATTGCGTATTCTTTCACCTCCCCCCTGATATATGCGTATAAAAATAAAATCTGTTTGGCGAATAGAGTTTAATTTTTCAAAAAAAAAATATTTAAATTTTTTTTTAAAATTGACGAAAATTTTAAAATTTTTAAAACGTTATTTTTTACCTTTGGTACCTGAAATTATTGTCATTTTGTCATTTGACAAACCTAATAATAGCAATCGGTAACTAGCTAGTAATTATTTAGAAACTATAGGAAGTAACTAGCCAGTAATAAGTATATAGTCAGTAACTACCAAGTAACTAGGACATTTTTTATAAAGAATCCTGCACTAATCCTAAAGGAAATGGGTCCCGGTGAAATTGGCTAGATTTCAATGGTCAGTTAGAGCTAGAAAACTTTAAAGTTGTAATTTTGACCAAAATTTAAAAAAAAATCGAAAAATGTCCAATATATCAATAATATATCAAAAATTTTGGAAATTTTCAAAATTTTATTTAAATTTTCAATTATAAAGTCTTCTTTCTACCTCTGAAACTAACCATTCTTCAAGAATGATAAGATTGGTGCAGGTTCCTTTGTAAAAGAAAATAATAAAACAATCAATGATTAAAACAATTCTAATAATTACTATAACACTCGATTCCTACAAATGGTAGGCTACTCTCTCCTTCAGAAGTTTCACTTCAATAGTGTAACGCAGAGACATTTTTTTTATTAATACCTACTACTCGTAGTTTAAAGGTACGTCCATATTGGGGAAACAACATGATTACGATTTCGAATCGAAATAGTGTGGACGCATCTTAAAAAATTATTTTAAAATTAAAAATTACTGTTCACATCCAAGTTCTACCTGTCACCTTTAAATTGTTAAGGTGCCTACTTTAATTTTTAAGTAAAATAAATACATCAAATTATATATAAGTTGCTTGTTTAAAATGTTGTTTTTTTACTTAAATTAATTTAAAAGATAATGTGAATATGTTTTATTGATTTCCCACATTTTTGAAATATATTTCAAGTATGTATTGGATACGTTTCCATGATTATTTTAGACTTAAAGTGTCTTTTTTACGTCTATCTAACTGTTTTCAATTAAGCGAAACTCGTTGAACCTTTAGGTAATCGTCCAAATGATTGGTAGAAATAAAACGCAATTGTATTCAATTGAGACGGCAAGGAACCGTGTCGGGCACTAATTTCTGTGAAAGACGTAAAAGTCCTTACCTTAATTTGATAAGAATTCAGTTTGTTCTTCGGCAGAGCATTGAAGGAGCTGAAATCCAATCGGCGAGTGAAAATGCCATTTGCACCACCTCCAATTCTGTAATTAAAGAAAACGTATAAAAATTGCTATCTTACTTACACAAAACGTTTTAATCCTCGGTAAATTTATTTAATCTGCAAACGATCTCATGCATATGCTTTATATTGGTAAAAGAATATTTTTACAGAACAAATTAATATAGGCAAACAATGACTTAAGAAATATTAACATTTTAGACACATTTAACAAATGAAGTGATTTGAGATTCAAAAATAAGTTTAAGCAAATTTTGTTGAATTTAAAACATGTTAATCTTAGTTAGAGTGGATTGTATGTACTTGAAAATACGCTCAGGTATAACACAAAGCCATAAAGGAAACGATATTGAAAAGGTAATATCTTTCAATTTCCTTCATCTTTACTTAGAAACTGGCGCAATTGTTGAGTGTATATAATGCAGCGGAGTTTGCAGTGTAGACGCGATTGTTCGCAAAATAACTTGGTTCTCATGTTTGAGGCATGTACACATTGAGAAACACCCGGATTAGATTTACATTGATCGCTGTCAAATGTCAGTATGGAAACTATATTTTTATGTCTCTTTCCTCGATGCTTTTACATTCGAAATCAAAATTGTAAATACATCATTTCTGTTTGGAATGGGTCTCGGGAGCTACACAATTGCACATAAGCATATACGATAGAGTGCAAAAAACTTTAAGCATATCAAATGTTTTTGAAGTAGAAAAAATTGAATTGCCCGTTTAGGACGATTCAGATAACTTTTAAATCAAATATTCTTTCCGTGGTTTAAATAACAGTGTGATCAAATTTGGCCTAACGAATGTGTAAAATAAATATAAAGACTCGTAACTTTTAAGATTCCATTTAAAAACCACTTGCGAAAAACATTTATGTCTGCGTACAAATTAGTGGAGTTTTTTCGTATACGTATAGTAAAGTTCCCCAATGGCTATTAAAAGGTTTTTACTGTCGTGTGGCCGGCTACACATAATTTGTAAGAGACCATAATACTAAAAGGGTCCTAAATAGTCGAAAAATATACGTTAGAATTTTAAACTTGGAAAACAATATCCAGACGAAATACGAGTTTTTAAACCATTAAATACGATGATCTAACCCTAAAATGGCTATAAAAAAACAAAATCCTAAAGTCACACTACAGTTTATCTAAATCGCCTATTTGACCTTGATGTTTTGTATTTAAAGTCAGTGGAGCAGTTAAACTTGGCGGCCTTGGTTTTAGTGAAACAAAAACAGAAACGAATTCTCGACCAACAAAATTGTTATGGTCTGAGGAGCAATAAATAAGTTATTCTCTCATAGACACGACCAACCACAGTAAATTGCATTTAATTAAAAGATTCTCACGCGTATTCATTAAGTATTTGATTTCACTTAATTATAGTAATTTTTACTGATACAATGCATATTAAGATAATGCATATTATTTTACAGTTGACTATTTAATGGTAATACTTAACGCATCTTATTATTTGTAAGAAATACATTGTATTTATGTTGAAGACTTATTATATTATTAAAGTTTATAATACACAGTGTGTCCCATAATTAGCGTGCAATACTTTAACAGCAGATTCTTCCTAAGAGAGATACAGCCCCCGAAAAAGGAGCCCCTGGAAACCGATCAAGATAAAAATTAAATTTTAAGAACTGATCAAACTCCCTACAAAAAAGTTAGTTGCACCCTATCTATCTGAGATCTGAGAAAAAATTTAAAATTGTTATTATTACTTATCATCAAAAGTTTTACCTTTATATCTTGAACGGTATTAAGGATATTAAATAAAAACCATCTTTAAAGGCTCATCTTTCGGGGGCTATAGCTCCCTTAGGAAGCATTTTTCGACCTATTTTTATGGGACTTTTTTTCTTATGTTTGTACCTAGCATTTGCTGTTAAAGTATTGCACGTTAATTATGGGACACCCTGTATACGTATATAAGCTTTTACTTGAATACCTTGTTATTGCAACAACCGGTTAATAAACTTATAAAAATTATATTTTTTACATTTCAGTAAGAGTTTGTATGTTGTTTAGTTCTGAAAATTTAAAAATAATATTTAATATTTAAAAATTTTTTTAAACATTTTAAACAGTTTTAATAGTTTTAAGAAATTTTAGACAGATTTAACGATTTAGGACGAATAAAGCTCACATAGAAAAACCTCATATTCTGTACTAGTGAACTATAGTAAACTATTACAATATACTTGTATCGGAACTAATAAATGATGTATGAAAATCCTAGCGAATGAAAAACTCGAACTCAAAACATAAAAATTTAAAAAAACACGTATTTTATTCGAAAAAAAAATCATCTATTGTAAATGAAAAATTCTTGTTTGTTTTGCTTTCGATTTTCAATGGGTCGTTATTTTAATTGGGGAGTGGTTAATCGAATAGAGAGCGATTTGAATAAAATTGCATTCTGCAAAATAAAACATCGGTGTACACTGTACACGTCCCGCGATCGTGCATACAAATTCGCTGGAAATCAATGCCCGCCAAAACTAAAGCGTACGCAATGCAGTCGATGTTGGACCGGGACTAACACCCTTTTGTGCCCTTTTACCAAGGTCAATAAAGGTTATTATAAATTCAATAACAGTTGCCTACACGCTTAATCTTTGTTTGAACATCCACCCAGACACCACACACCATTTTTGTAAACACTCGAACGAAATTGCTGGAATTGAGTTCTGCCAATATTTGGCTTTGCCATGACAATGGATTATCGGATTTTAATTAAAATTGCATACATAAAACTTGTTTGTGATAGTTTTGAAAACTACCCAGAACATATTTACCACCGTAGAAAACAAAACAAACAAAAAGAAACCCCAACTGGTAAATGTATCTCATCTTTGTAATTTTTAGGATAATAATTATTATTTACATTTAATGGAACAAGTTTTCTGAAAACTGTTTTTATCCAAAAAACATAAAAGTTAATTGTATTAGGCACAAACTTTTTCATTTTAAATTAGGTATTTCGTAGAAGCAAAGTTTTTAAATTAAAATATATGCGGTTTTTGTTTACGTTAGGCAACATTATTTAATTAGGTACAAATTATAAAATAAAATCAATGTAATGTTACTAATGTAATTCAGAGAATTAAAATCATTCACTTAACGTTAATAGCAAAGCGTAATATTAAAATGACCTCGAATTGTTATTTTGATGAAAGCTTTTGTTGTGATAAGAATATCCTGTTTATTTTTTTTAAAGTGTCAAGATTTACTTAAATAGTAAAATGTTTATCCCATAAAGTAATACTAGACAATAATATTAACGATAGCGCAAACATTAAAATGACTCATTACAGCTAAAAATAGTTTATCTAAGATTAAACAACCCAAGTCACGTTACAAAATTTGCAATTATTATAGCATTTAGTACTTAAGCTTTGTTTTTTATTCGTTATTGACAAATTGTTTTGACCAGAATATTAATGTTTTAATTTAAATAAATACCTACGGCCAAACAATATGATATTTTATAATTTATTTATAAATTATAAAATATCATATTGTTTGGATACTATAGCAGCGAATTAAGCAAAATTATACAAAAACGATTTATCTATGTGGTTTAATGTTTAGTCTAAAATAATAACAATAACAATAATTTCCGTTGCCGCAGCGCGAGAATTTATTCACATGCTAAACCTTGAACAAATCAACAAAGTTTATTAACCACTCGACATGGTTAACATCCTTCAATGTTTAAAAATGCGTAGCAGCGACAAGCTACATATCAGTGAGGTAGGTTCTGTTATCTAAAACATTGAATTATCTGTTTGCTTTGATACTTATGTATTTGTTTAATTTATAATAATTGTAAATTTTATATATAAACATTTAAGATTATTAAGTAAAGTAGTTTTTATAACACCTTTCTAAAAATGTCAACATATCTAAATGTCAAAGAAAGTAAATATTAAATAAATATTAATTTAGATGTTGTTGCATCAACTAAAAAATTTAATTATATTTATCTTCGAGTGGTCTATAATTATAATTTAAACATTATTATTAAATTATATTGTTAACACTTACTACTAAAGTGATTGATTATCGCCTAGGCTGTACAAAAATTTGGTTACCTCGTTTTGACCAAAAAAATTAGATAACTGTCAGATATTCCCAACCTTACTTCCCACTTTTAATAATTAATATTATAACTGTTTAGCTTATCACAAAAAAACTTACCCATCAGGCTAATATACAACGATTAAGTATAAGCGCAGCATAAAGACAACACAAGTTATGTTGTGGTAGGTATAAGGTAAACTAACTTAGATATATTCATATACAGGATGTTTCAGAGTTTAATCCAAATATTTTAAGGGGTGATTCTACAGCTCAAAATATGACAAAATGCGTCATAAACTACGCCAATTTAAATATGACACTCAACTTTATATTGTATATTGTAAATACTCACTACCAAAGTATTTGATTATGTCCTAGGCTGTAAAAATAATTTAGACCATCCCGGTATGTAAAAAACCTGTTAGGACTGTCGGCTGAGACGTGTCTTTTTGTGTCAATTGTAGGACTCCGCTAACGCGTCAGCCTTCAAATTTCAATAAATAATAAAAAAGGTCGATAAAATAAACTTGTAATCCGACTGATTTGATAGGTAAGATACTCAGTATTATCAGTACAAAACGTTTATGGGATTTAATTTAATTAAAAACCCTAAAATGGCAATAAAAATCGCTTGAATTCAGTAGACTGTTATTAAAATCCTAAAAAACGTAGTGAAAAAAGATTTATAATCACAATAAAAAATGCTATTACTTTAGGAATGCACAATAATTATATAAAATTGCAGGTAATGTTATAACGAAAATGTGTTGCGGTGAGAAAATTTTCACACATTAACATCCTATAAATGTTCCCCCTTTCTAAAAGTGCTACGGTATCGTTACATGCTTTCGTTAATAACAATTTTTATGCATGGAAAACTTCGCTAATGGATACTGGCCAAAGCAATTTTAATATT